GGGAAAGAAGAAGGCTGTATTTTAATTTAATAAGCAAAATAAAATGAACAATAAAATACAGTTATTTTTTAAAATAAAAGCATACTTTAACATATCAATTATATGATTTTAGTTTTTAATTTAATTGTAATAATTACATAAACAATAACGTTTAATTATTATCAGGAACAACCTAAATTGCTTGTAGGTAAACTTATCTTCTGTGGAGCAGGGCTGACTATAGTAATATAAAGTTTAAAAAAGTTTTTATATTATCATCTGTATTGAGAATAAAAATATTACTTCTAATTGTAATTTTTATAATTGCTGTAAAATTTTAATAACGTTTATAAACAACTCTTCAAAATAGTAAGTTTTAAGTTAACAAGTTATAAGACTGTACGAATATTATAATTTAATAGAAATTGTTATATATTATAAATGTGACTGATATATTAAGATGATAGTTTATTGTATTTGTTTATATATTTTAATTGCTGAATTAATAAAGTTAAAATGTGATTGTATAATAATAAAAAAATGTAGAATTATTTATTTCCAATATCAAATTTAATAATTTTTTTTTGCTTTTTAACATTAAGTAAATATTTAAATATCTTTTAAAGTCATTTTTATTTGACTATCTAAAATATTAGATTTCACGAAGCATATTAAGAAACAAATCGTCTTTTATATTTGTCGAGTTTAATCATGTAAATGAAAAAGAGTAAATCAATTTTACAAATATTAAATTTCAAAAAGACGCAAATTTTTTGATCGCAAAATGTCAAAATAAAGAATATAACCAGTGTACAAAGTAATTACTGTATTTAACTCATTCTCCAGAACATATGTATACGTGCAGATGATAATGTGGCAAAGCGACAGCAAAATCGTTCGAAAATTCAACCAAGAATATTGTTCGTTACTAAATTTTTTAATCAGGTACGCTGAGACTTGCTTGCTTCTATAAAATATATAGTGCAATCAGAGAATAAACGTTCAAATAATTCGTACGTTTAATTTTAGTAGTTCTCCTTTTGTATTTAGTAATTTATTATATCATTCTTTTATTCCTTTACACATATTGTTATGATCTCGATGATCGTACGAAACGGTGAACATGTAAACTAGGTAATTACAAATAATAAAAATAAAAAGCCTCTCATAAGATTTCTCTTCTAAACGTTCAGCTATTCAATTTGATTTATGTATATATTTATATATATATACTTATATGTATTTTATATATATATAATATGTATAATCTATATATAAAATACATAACAGAGGCTCGCACAATGTTTTCATTGTTTTACAATTCACGATGTTTAAATTAGCAATTATTTTTTTTTTTCTCATTACAATCAGTGCCAGCCAGTTTTCTCTTCTCAGCGTCCGCTGTATGTCGATTCGATAATTACAAAAATTTTTATGTACCTTGCAACTCCTACGTTTTGTCATATTCCTATTATAATACAAGAATTGTTTTTCTCACTTCGCTTCGCCAGACATTTAATCTTACACCTTTAAGAAAAATTTACACAGAGCTCATAACATCATGAATGAAATACAGGTATTATGTACAAATATTTATAATTATACATATATACTTTATTCCTCCAACTTCATTTGAATACGATCGTCCTATAATTTTTCAATTCGCGATCCCGCCTGGATAGCTGGGTAACTCGACGAACGACTCGTGTAAATGCAACCTAGTCTCGCGATCTTCGTCATATCTGATAACGTAAAAAATATATATTATCGTTCACTTTCTTCTTTTTTTTTTTAACGTTTAGGAAACGAACAAATAAATGTTTTCCATTTGAATCACAATAATACATTCCAACGAAAAATTAATTCTTACCGGTTTGAAAATTTAATCGTTTTTTATTTTTCAATTTCACGAAATAACCATAATTACCATTTCATGGTACACTTTCTTTCGTTACCTCTATTTTATATAGCTTATGATACAAAGAAGTCGATAATATTTCATAATGATTTAGGATGAGAAAAAAAGAAAAAGCTTTATCATCACGCGCCGCGAGAATCACTTATCCTTAAAGTGGTTGTTTGAAAATTTGTAGAAGCATCATATTAGAATTTCAAGTACAAGCATTATGCTATTAAGATCTTTGCTATTTTCGTATCTTAACGTATCAGTTTTTATAAAACAAAAATAAATAAATAAATATATGAAATAATGTTTGTTCTATCATTTTGATTTCCAAATGGCGTCCAATCTAATTCATTTGAATTAAAATAAAATTATTCTAATGGTTCTATCTTTTCATTAGTTGTTATTATAAACTGCTAAAAAAAATTCTTCAAATACTGGCAAAGATTTACCTAGGAAAGTGCTTTTTTTTAGTTTCTTCTCACCCATCCATTCTTTTTTAGTGCTGAAAATTTGAAAAACACTGGCTTTAAGAACATTTAGGCCTTTCTAAGTTCCAAGTATAAATATACTTACACCTGTATCTATAATATACGGACAACTCGGAAGAAATAATTGATCTGTGACTCGATCGAATCGATGTGTGTGTAGCATTTTATGGATGCTTCTCGTCATTTCTCAGAGTTCCACGATTCACACAAACCAGACCATGTTAATATATGTAGATGATAATAGTATTACGATCGAGGAAATGATTCAACACGACACGTTCAGTTTGCCCGAAAAAGTATAAAAGTTCCTTACTAAGAGTATCTCTGGATTTAAAGTTAGATACAGAAGTCGAACGAACAGCTAGGAGTTCCCGAGCTAAAACCGATCTAAAGCAGAAGAAATTCTTAGACTTTTTACACGATGGTCTTGGGGCCGGAATACGCCATCATCATCACCACCATCATCACCATCATCATCATCAGTATCATCATCATCATCATCATCATCATTATCATCATTATCATCATCATTATCATCATCATCATCATCACGCTATGTGCGATGCCTTACCAACGTTATCTTGACAGAATAAGATTACTCGATAATAAAACAAAAGAGAGACGATAATATAGCCATGTAATTGCAATATGCAATTATATAAGCAAAATCATAAATTCCTAACAAATACATTTCATAAAAAGGTTTTCTTTACATTCTACGTTTTCTTGTGGTTGACTTATGAAAAACATACAATAATTATATTAATAATAATTAATAATAATATAATATAATATAATAATAATACTATAATATTGATTGTAATTAACTATAACGTCCATAAAGTATTTTCTTCGCCCTTCATTTTTTGTACACGATTACTAAAAACATTTCTTCCGCTTCTTGTTGAGAAAATAAATATTAATATTAAATTTGAAATATTATCTCGTTTTTTGTTTGCTTTTTTCTTTTATCACTGATCTGCAATCACTTCAACTACTGTCTTTCGTTCGTGTTAACTAATTACAGTACATTATTATAGTCTAAATCGGCAAGTCGACTTGCCTAGTAAGTTTATAGGCCTCTTTAATAATTATGGAACATTGCCGTATCCTCTTCTCTTCTAGTACATCCTTTTCACCATTTATATCTTCTTTCTTTCCTTACAACGCACAACCACACCTTTCTTTTGCGATGATTTTGCAAACTTTTCGCATCTTTTTTATCATACTTTTGTTCTCTCACTTTACACTAAAATTCAAAATAAACGAGTTGATCGCTGCTCGCAACGTGAAAGAGCTTTCTTTTAGAGGCCTGGTTCAAGAGGTCACCTATGGTTACTGCTGCTTTGATCGTTCATATCATACAGAACTTGTGCGATTGTTCTCGATGATTCGACATTGCTTAATGCGACACCTGCCAAATGTGGTTCGTACGCTCTAAGATGCCTGAAAATCAAAACACAAATGATATTAAAATGTGGTCAATTTAATTAGAATATAGTTATTTGTCTATAATTTTATTGATACGAAAAGTACTTATAAAAAAATGATAAAAAGGTAAAAAGATAAGTAATGGGGTTGAAGGCTGACGGAGGATGGAGGGGTTGGGTTGTAAGAGAAAAGAGAGAGAGAAGAAAATGAACGATCGTTAAAAAATTCGGGGATTCCTATATTCTTACGTCGCGAGATATTATCAGAGTTCACTCGACCCGAACGTCTGTAATTTGGATTCTCGCACACCCCTACAAAAATCATTTTCCGTTTGGATATAAATGTTCTTTAAGAAACTTTAAGAAAGATTCGCAAAAGTTATATTTAAATTTGAACACAGTACATTTCAGAAGTGTACCAAACGAATTATAAATATTTAATTATTATTATTACTTATTTCTTTACTGACATAAATTAGTAAGAAATTAAAACAAACTTTACCTTCTGCCATGTGTTGAATATATGACTAGGTTTCTGAGAATAAGAGCTGCAGTCAAGCGAATACTTTTGGTCACTGGACCTTCGTTGTCATCCTGTTGAAAAATCACAAAATATTTAAGGATTAAATTGACGACATGTCATACTAAATTATGAATTAAAATAAAAAATAATCTAGCCACACTTTTTAATTAACACTAAACAAATACAGTATGTCAAGAATATGACAATTATTTAATGATGTTTGAATTAATTAGTTGCAACAGCTTTGAACATTAGTAAAATACAATTATGAGAACAAAATGAAAACACTGATTTGGGAAATGATGTCATATGTGAATAGATTGCACAATTTCATGGAAAACATCAGGAAAAGCACTGATATTCCATTTTCACATTACAAGGCAACAAATGTCAAATTATTCTTTCATGTGATTTTTTTTATAAAATATATCGACGTTGTGAATAAAACATAAATTTATAATGCTAATAATAAATAACATAATGTGAAAACAAAAAGTTATTTATAGCATGCTATGTAAAATTATATAAAAAATACTTTTTAAATATCTTTTCAAAAAATGTTTACATAAATTTATTACATAATAATACAAAAAAATTGATTTTAGGTAAAATCACTACAAAAGGTATCATATACAATAAATTTATCATACAAGGCACGTTAACATTCTTTGGTACCAAAAATGTTTATACGCTGAACATAATTTTATTTAAATCAATTGCTAATGAATAATCCAATATCCTTAAAAAAGTTCTTTCCTGTTTAAAAATTGTATAGAAATATAAAAATTTTCATACTTTATAAATATAACTCTTAAATTGCAATGAATGCAAAAGATAACTTTTCTGTATTAAAAGCGCGACAAATATTATACATTATGCTGTTTAAAAAATTATACCAGCACCCTTCATCATCGTAACTACACTTCAACTGTGTGAACACATAAATTATATAACGACGTTGGCTACGAAATGAAACTAAAATGAAATCCATGCTAATAAAACACGCGTTTGTTGTACCGTGAAACGTAAAACTAAAAATTAAAAAGACAACATATGTTACGAAAAACAAAAGAAAATGAAGCGCAAAAAAAAGTAGGCGGCAGGAACAGCGCACAAGGGCTGTGGCTGTGAATCGTGAATCCTTTTTTTTTTTCAATTTCTGAACACGTTTTTACCTGTTCTGGTGGAGGATTTTGCCCAGGTCTGGGAGAAGAAGAGCTTGAGGTGGCTGCAGCGGGCTTGGTCGGCCTTTGCTGCTTTGCCAAGAGAATAAGAAATTTCATTACATTAACAAAACTCAATAGACTCTATGAACCGTGGGACTATAAAGGATTCTCCGAAATATTGACACAGAATATATAGTTAAACGTGTTATTTTTAATATTAATATATTGTGCTATTTCAGGTCATAATTTTAGTGCATTCGTTACCCCCATGATCGAGAAGTGTTTTGTGCTTCTTTCTTTTTACCAAAACTACCATTAACTTATGGCTATTTGCATTATCATAATTTACGCGACTTGTGCAATTTTGTAGAATCATACTAACCATCAACTCCTTTGGATTTACAAATTCCAAAGCGTGCCGTTTAATAGCGTGGAATGCTGCATTTGGTGCATATCCAGGGTGATGAGGAGTCGGCGGTATCGACGTGGAAACTTCGGTTTTGCCTGTTACCGTTAACTGTTTCCTCCTTATCGACATTGTCTGTAAAATATTACAGTGCAATTTTAGTTAAATTCTTTCTCATATACTAAGAAGTAATATAGAAAAAAGAAATTTTTAAAAAATGAGGATTGCTATACTTACTTCCGCATTACAATGCCTATCATATAAATGTGTCATTAACGAAAATCTGCGCCTTTTTAAAGCATCGCAGCTCGCCCAAAGACATAATATTTCTTCCCCACCAGTTGGACAATGTGCCTCGCATACATGAAGATAAACTTCGTGTGGTGTTTTAAATTGTCTGTACAAATATAAAAATGTATGTATTAACATTAGACAATATTACTAATTTATTTCTTATAATAATAAGAGGAAACGATGAAATGATCAATAATTAATATTCTTTTTTCATTTTAAAACATATAATGTTTTCTTTAAATTCTTAAGTATCATCACTAAATTAACTTCTACTGAGAACCAATGAATTACCTTAAACAACCCCGCCATTCACACAAATAGGCATTGGGATCAATTTTTATCGTGATGGTCTTTTCCGGTTGATTCTGACTTGTAGACGGTTTAGATTCCGGTTCCGTGGAAGTTGAGGAACTGACAGTCTTCATTACTTTAGCGGGTTGTTTTGCGGCCAATCCGTGCGTTGCAGCTGCTTGATGAGGCGTTGTGGGTCTGGTAGGTGGTGGAGTAGAGGCTGGAGTTGGTGTCACCACTCTTGATGGCACACTCGTCGACACTGGTGTTTGTTGGGCCATCGCGGGAATTGTAACGGTCACCGTATTCGGATTCGTTTGTGCTACGGAACTATTCACTATTATAGAAGTTTGTGGTATTGTGCCAGATGTTGGAACCAAAGGTGGAGGTATATTTCCGAGAGCTGGACTCTGCAAGATAGGACGCGAGACTTGTGTAACGACAACCTGCTGTCCCTGAGGTGTGACGGCCACCATTTTTTGTTGAGTCGGTTGAGCAGCTGCTTGAGATTGCAAAATAATTATTGTTTTTGCTCCTGTTCCTTGCTGCTGTGTCGTCTGAGCTACCAGCACAGTTTGCGCTTGACCCTGAACCAACGTCGTTTGTGGTTGAGCTAGAACGTAATTTTGGCCGGGTACACCACCAGATACGACGTACTGTAATTGACCTCCTGCTCCTTGTTGCAATAAAACTTGCGGTTGAGGTTGTGCCTGCCTTCCTTTTACTGGACCAGTTGGTATAATAACCTGGTTATTAGGTTGAATTGTTTGTTGTACTACTATTTGCCTAGGTGCTGTGACGATGAGTTGTTGTTGAGGTTGAGGTTGTTGTTGCGGCTGTGGTTGTGGTAGTGGTTGTGGTTGTGGTTGTGGTTGTGGTTGTGGTTGTGGTTGTGATTGTGGTTGTGATTGTTGTTGTGGCTGTGGCTGTGACTGTGGCTGTGGCTGTGTCTGCGGTTGCGGTTGCGACTGTGGTGGCTGCTGCTGCTGCTGCTGCTGCTGCTGTTGTTGTTGCTGTTGCACCTGTGGTTGAGGTTGTGGTTGTGTTGATTGGTGTGATTGCTGCTGTGGTGGCTGTTGGAGTGGTTGTTGTTGTTGTTGAGGTGGCTGTTGATTTATTTGATTAACAAATATGTGAGGTTCCTCTTTTATTGTGGTAGGAGATTCTTCCTTAACATTTACATTGTCATCAAGATCAGTTTCATCTTCTATGCAGTCTGCGGCTAAAGCAGCATAAAGGTTTGCAGCTGTAGAAGACACAGTTGCTTTCTCGCTATCTTTGTCATCGTCTTGTTCTTCAGACTTTATACTCGAGACAGTGGATTCGGCGGTAGTAGAGTCAACAGCAGGATCCGGTGACATTGTACCATTGGAATATTTTACTTTCTTCACGTCAACTTCATCTGATTCGCTGGCAGCTCGCTTTATCCCTCTAGGTGCTTCGAATAAAGTATCCTCGGATACATCTGTCTGTATAACGTTTCCCTCTTCTACTTCGGCTTTTATTTTAATGTCAGTAGGAGATTCTTTTAGTACTTTTTTAATATGATTTTCTACTAAATCCATTCCTTTCTCGTTAATAGAATTTTTTCCTAAAACACCATTCAAAATGGGCTCTTTATCAACTTTCCTTTCTAACAAATCTGCAAGCATCATACTTTGCAGGGGTTTTTCTTTAGATGTTATACTAGATGAATCTTTTGAGGATCCGTCATCTTGTGCATCGATATCCATATTGCTCGGTGCACCATTTAACAATATTCCTTCGAAACTCGTCAAAGAGTTATCCTCCTCTATGCCGACACCAGAACAATCCCTACTACCACCGATACCACTACTAGATGCTAAAGAATTATTTGTTGAGTCCGAATCTTCGGCGATTGATGTACAAGTTGAACGTTGACTCGTTTTGTTTACTGTAGTTACGATTGTAGTTGGAGGCCGACATACTTTAATAGTTGACGATATGTGATTTTCAGTTGAATTTAAAATCACTGTGGAAGAAGTAGTCGATGTTGCGATTTGGTTGATATTTTCATTATCATTTACTTCAGTCTAAAAAAGAAAAGTATTGAATTATGACTTCATAAGAATTAAAAATTAAAAATATGCAAAGTTTACATAATTTAGTATAAAAGTCATTTTGTACCTTGTCACAATTATTAGTCATAATAAATTTGGCTCCATTGAGCCTTTGTATTTTTTTGGCAGGAATGGGTGTGATAGCTGGTTTTTGTTTCGAGTTGACAGGAGTCTTTGGGAGTATTGTTGTTACATTAGTGGTAATTGCAGCTGGTTGCGATATATTGGTTAACTGTTGTTGTAATAGCCTTTGTTGTTGTTGACGTTGCGCAACCTATATAAATAGTACGATTTACATTTATAAAATATTTATTATTCTTTGGAGAATTATTTTTTGTATTTTCTTATTTACTATAGCAAAGAAAATAACTTCAATTTCGAAAACCATGCTTTTGTTAGTAGAATACAAAATACTATTATTTTCACTGAACTCAAAAATAATCACGTTGTTAAGTATTACTTGAAAATTTTAACTGAACAATATACAAATGTGTAAAACTTATTTCCTAGACTAAAGAAAATGGCATAACAAAAACATAATATTTATAACTACTTCAAAACGCAAACATTCAGAAAGAAAACTCTTTGAAATCAAATTTATTAAGACATACATTCAACTAAGTACGATTCCAAGTGCGATCTTATCCTGTAAAATGGTTTTTCTATAATATAAATACAAATTATTTTAAATTCAAACTTAATAATTCTACACATTACATTCTATTTAACTAATCCACTATTATATAAACATGCTATGCTTCGTATACATATTTCAAATTTTTTGGTTTGAACAGAAAATCAATCTCTTTAACCATCCTACAATCTATGGTTGCACTTTAATGTACTAAAATTTTTTTAAGATGTTTACAAAATTACTGCATATATATAAAAGAAACGATAATCATCAGACTTGTACAAGGTGAATCTAATAAAAATGGTCTCTTTAAGAGCTGGAAAGGATAAAATAAGTTAAAAATATTCTATCAATATATCAGTCATCTATATTTTATATAAATGTTGTTTAACGAATTGTTATACATATCTATCAAATAATGCTGCAAAGCAATTGGTTAAAATACACTTGAAAATAAATAATTTATCACAGATGTACTACAGCAATTAAATCTGTACAACTGTAAATTATAACTACATTATAAGAAAAATTTACTAAGAAATTTATTTAATTGGGTATACACTATTAATACTATATAGTTCATAGATATTTTTCAGTTTATTTCTTTTTTTTTCTCTTAACCTTAGAAGACATACCGCTTAAGAAGACCATCTTTAGACAGATCCTATATATTAAACTCAACTCAATGTCCTATATATGTATAAAAATACTACAGTTTTCATTGTTAATGTACAACAATGATACCTGGTTGCTGGTTATTAGCTGGTTGGCACTGATGCTGGATGCGATGCTAGCAGTAGTGTTTGTTACACAGGCAGTAGGGGTAGACACACAAGTCGCAGCAGTACTGGGCATGCAGTCGCTGCTGACCGTTACCTTAGTAGCCAGAAGGCTTTTTATTATGGAACTGGATGTAGTACCACTTCGATTATCTTCCTTTGCAACTACCTGGACAGTTTGACACTGTTGTTGTATTTGCTGGACTTGTTGTGGTTGTGGCTGCGTTTGAGAGCCACTTGACAATAATGCTTGACTCAGATGAGGATGCGATACTGACACCTAATTAACAACGATCGTAATGTAATTATGATATTGTTATAGATATTACATATAAGCAAAAACATTATTAGAATTCGGAAATAATTATTTATTCAGTTTTAAATAGATATGATGAAAGTAAAAAGTTCAACATTTAAACAATATTACTTTACTAGCTTTATTTAAATTTCTGCATTATAAGATATTATATGTTAGGTACGTCATGTAGTATGCTAATTATTTAGCTATATGCAATGAACAAATTCCAGCACTGGTAGTGAATTTTATCAATTATGAATAATTATATGAATAAAACTAAAGAACTAATTTTGTTTTTTATGAAATTTATAAGGCATAATAGTTAAACACTTTCTCGTTATAGCACTTTATTTATTATTAAGCATGATATGATTTGAAGTAAAACAAGTAAAATTAATCAAAAACAAAATTTATAGAACTTGTTATTGAAGAATATGAGATAGCAAGAATCTTACATTATACTATGACACAAATTACACCTGCATGAAGGATATGCCAATCAGAAATATATACTTCAGAAATACAAAATCTATATTGATCATGCAGCAAAAAAGTTTTTTAGCTAATAATATATTTTTAACTATTACCGATAAAAGTTTAAAACAGATAGAATTGTAAGCTTTGTTATAAATAACAGTTAAATATATTAAGCAAAAAGATCCATTTTGAATACATAAAATATTATTTTTAAATAATATTTATAGTAACCATTTATGCATATAGTAATATTTATATTTTATATTTATATTCAATAAGCTTATTTGCTTCATTATAGCAGCTGTTTACAATCAAATCCCACTCATTTGAAACTAAGAAGAACCATGTCTTCATATATTTCATATACATATGTTTGATACTAAACAATCATTTTATAAAAGAAATATTTTTAAAAATTATGTTTCAATAATCTGGATTTCAATGTTCACACATCTACTTATCTGCATGCACGCACGTGTAGCATTGGGGTACACGGGATTTAAGACATGCAAAATGTAACTTTGTTAAGGAAAGCCCATATTATAACAGCATAGTGAAACCATAACCAAAATAAGAACCAAGGTCATGAGTGGTAGAGAGAATGGTAGAAAGCTTAGGACTTGGACCCACCTGACTTTTAGAATCAACCTTGGTGACTGGATTTTGGGACTGAGTTGCAGTGTTCGAGATATTGGATGGTGGTTTTGGCGGAGCAGATAACTGGGCTTTTAGGATAGGTGATGCAGGGGCAGGGATTCTTGGAGGCCCAGATGCAGGATTGTCTAGGGCCGTGCTATCAGGAGCAGGACTTATACTCTTGATTGTACGCTGTTGTACGGGAAGCACCTTTACTGGCGTTGTGTTGACTGCTGGAATTGGAGCTGTGTTAGTCCCAACCGCAGTTTGGCTCGGATAAGTTACTTGGGGAGGTGTGGCCCGTACTCGGATTCCTTCGTAATACTGAGTACCACTTGTTTCACCTTTCAATGGATTTGGTCCGACGCTTCCACCAAATACAGATCTATAGAAAAGTATATTTTTATTAGTACATTGATTTTTAGTTAATATAATCTGTATGAATGGTAACTCTTTGTATTCGGATCAATTGCTCATAGCAATACCTCGTAAGTATAGTTTATGTAATAAGTTGAGAGTTGCATTCTTCGTTTAAGACAATAAAACGATGTATTCCATTCCGTTAAACAGAAGAAACAACACAAAAGAAAAAAAACAAAAGAAGACACCGATTGAGAGAGAGGAGAGAGAAAGAGAGAGAGACGCAAATACCTAAATTGCATATGAAAAAATGTTTCTGAAGATTTTATACTTTATTTTTGCCATTCTTTATTTTATATTTAATTTGTCATTCGTTTTATATATTAGTGAAGATGGGCTTGAAAGGAGTTATACTTCACTATTTACCTAACACATCTTGGAAAGTGAAGTGGAGCAATAACACCTCTTCTACCAATTTTTGTGCAGCAACCAAGATATTTTTTGTACAATTCTTCTTGTTCTATGCGTACACCTAGTGCAGGTTCGAAGGTAGCTCTTAACCAACTCAGAGCAAACTGCTCATTTTCTTGTATAATTTGTTGATGTGCATGTTGCTGTTGAAGTGAATTATTCGTCTCCACCGCTTCTAAACAGATATGCAAAACAAATGTAGATCTACCATTATTTAGGTCTTATTCTAAAAAATTATTTTAATATCTTTGCACGTACTGTGCGTTGTAGATTTTGTTGCAATCGCAGCTGGAGTTGTTGGCCGCGAAGGTGCTGGGCTAACAGGAGCTGGTGTCGCAGTAACTGTGGCTGGAGTAGTTGGTACAGCGGAGGACACTATTGCAGTTGGGGCAGTAGCGGTAACTGGAGTGTTCTGAGTAGTATTCGGTGATGGCGCTACCGTGGATACTGTTTCGATTACTCTCATCAGAATACAAGCTTTTGGCCCGTAACTCTGCGCTTCTACAGTAACAAGAGCGACTAATGTGTCGATAGCTCCGCGTACCCGCGCGACGCTAGTACATGGCCTTTCACCTAATGAAGTCAACGCGTACAAACATTCCAAAGTATATACTAAAAGAGCTATGTCGTTTAGAGCTAAAAACCTGTAATTAAACACAAATATAATTTTCTGTGTCATTTATGATATACTTTGTACATGTATTTGTCTATTAATTACAAATATAGTTGTGGTTCATCATTAAAACTTTCATGTACTTTTCTGATTTTAGAATCTTATCTTTAGAAGATAAAAATTATAAAAATATGGTGAAAGATATATTAAAAGCAAAAGTTTATATACTATGAAATTTATAAAAGGTAATTTACCTGCATATAAGTTCATATACATTGTCTTCTAATCCAAATGTAACAATTTCTTCATTGCTGTCTTGTTGGCTAATTTTATTAAGCACCTCCAAGCAGGAAATAACGATAAACCTGTCTTGGGATTCAATTCCCTTTGCCACACATGACAATACAACATCTGTTATCCTTTCACCAGCTTCTTTTAAGATTATTTCATTTGCTATATTCCCTAATATGTCAAAACCAAGCTGATGCAAATTGCTCCACCTTGCTCTCACACACAGTAATACAAATCTCAAGAAACATCGATTCCTTCCCAATATAGTTGCGTTTTCTGGAGTAAAACTTAGGTTCCGTAAGATTGACGCTATTTGTAGCACACGTTGCCCATAAGGATCCTGCGTTCCCAGAGTCCGTCCAACACAAAACAAATCTTTATCCTCTTCCTCAAACTTTATGGAGTTTTGATTCTGATCTTTTAAACTTTCATCTTGATGCAATCCAATTGGATCTAATCTTGAACAGTCTGGGATCACCTGTACAACATATTTCATTTTATAAGACAAATCATACACTATTCTAGCTAAAGACATACAGTAGCATTTCATGTTTAATTTAAAATATAGACTTATGTTGGCATAATTTAACTTAGACATTGTATTTCATTACAAGGAAAAGTGATTACTTTTGTATTTATAAGAGAACATATTTGTCCTTTCAGCACATATTTTAAAGCAACAATATGTAATTCATATCTTTCACTGAAACTGAAAGGATTAAAATCTAAAAAAATTAAATTAGACATGAAGTCACTTAGAAAACCTTTCCTAAAGATGAAACCCATTAATTATTAAGACATACAGTATCTCATTCCATCTTACCCCATCGATTTCCATCGACGTAGAAGCCTCATCGTTCTCCATCGACACGGTGCTTTTGTTCTGCTTCTCCCTCTCCAAGATTTTCCGCCTAGAGAAGGTCTGTGGACTGGCTGTCGGTTTCTTCATGAACGTCCTCTCGTTCGTAAGATCTATCACGTCCTGGGAGTCGAGGACATCCGACCAGAACGAGTTGATCGAGTAATTCCTCACTCGGGAATAAACCTCGATGAAGAGCTGCCGCGTACCAGGTGAATCGAAGACACCCGCGTGCGCCAGGAGTATGTTCACGAGACGGGGATACTTGTCGAGACGTAGGATGTGCTTGCCCTCGTTCGACAGCAACGTGCAGACGTTGATGGCGAAGTCTTGCTCATTGGGAAGAGGCGAGAGGAGCGATAGTGCGAGTTTATCGTAGTTGGATGGTTTGTAGAGGTCCGACGAAAGGCCATTGTAATCACGAAGAGATTCTAGAAAAGACATGTGAAAGATAGAATGTTAATGTATTGTTAATAGTATGATTTTTATTTTACAAACGATACTGTTACTTAAGTACAATTTCTTTTTCTTTTCTTTCTTTTTTTTTTTTTTT